ACCGGGAGGGGATGGGACCTTTAGGAGGTAGGACCTGGTGGGATATTTGAGGTTAATTGAGGGTTCCCTTGAAGGAGACTACTGAACCCTGATCTCTTCCTCCTTCTGTTTTGCATCCTGGCCGTGAGATGAGCAGTGCTGTTCCACCACGCTCTCTTCTCCCCCATGTGCTGCCTCACCACAGGCCCCAAAGCCACAGAGCCAACCATGGGCTGAGAGTGTGAGCCAAAGTAGCTGTGAGCTAAAATGAATTGTTCCTCTTTTTATGTTGATCGTGTCAGGTATTTTGTTACAGAACTGGAAAGCCAATGCACAATCTTTCCACAGTACATGCACACACAAGCAGAGTGTGTTCTTTGCTTTTAAGAAATCAGCATGGTAAAGTCTGACCTTATCAAACAACCCTCAAGGTAAAGAACACCTTTATTTTTCCAAAGTGTCATTTTAAATGAGAACAAAACAAGAAACAAAATCCAATACATAAATATACACTGAACACCTAGTGTTATAAGTAGCAAAGAAGAGAATGAGGAGGCAAAGAATGACCAAGATTTACTTTTGGTTTTCAAGGCTTTAGAATATATAAATCCAGTGGTTCTAAAAGCATCATTGATATGAACTTATTGTCTGGTAGTCTTGCTTTAGTCTCTCAGGAGTATGTCTTGTTTTATATTTAGTATTCGAACCACTTATAGTGTATTTCTTATTTTGCTCCTACAGTGACTCGATAATGGAAAGTTGATTTGAAGGCTGATTAGCTTTCACTGTGAGCCCTTTCCCTAAGCAGCATCCAGTAGCTTCCCCTCTTTTTTCCTGATTCTGAAGGTGCAATCTGGTATTTTCAATACCTTTAAAAATCTTTACAAATCCTGTATATTTTACAAACATCTGAGGTTCAAAGGGAAACTCATTTTTTTTTCAGGATAGGAGGGTTGTATTTCTGCCATCAGATAATAAGAGGCAGGATCTTAATTGTCCTCTATCTTTGTGTGTGTGTGTGCGTGTGTGTGCGTGTGTGTGTGTGTGGTCTGGAGAGGAAACCCAGGACCCTGTGCGTGCTAAGTACATGCTGTACCACTGAGTTACACCCCAGCCGCCTATCCTCTTGCAGGTTAGTGGTGGACTATGTAGATTTTTATGTCTTCATTGGCTCCAATGGCTGTAGCATTTCATCAAAAGAAAACTTTTTCATAACAAAACAGGATTAATTTTCGAGTAGCATTGCCTAAAGGTACTATAGCAAGGACAGAAAACCTGGGTTTCTTCTTTTCTGCTTTCTTTGAAATGAAATGTAAATAGAAGCTTTCTTTGTCTTTCTTCTCCCAGCTTTATTTCCAAAACCAACACACAGGTAACACTGAGGAGGGTGTGACCAATTTTCCAGCATTTGCAGCCGGGATTAACTGTACTGCCTTGTTCATTTGCCAAATCTATTCCATGAAACAAAAGTAAGACAAGTCATGAAGCTTTGTAATCTTTGTAGGTGAAGCAGACCATACTGTGCAGAAAGCACTGGGCTTGAGGAAATCTGGGTGTGGGGCTGGTTTTGCAGTTTTAGTGCCCCTTCCCTTGGGCAAAGTGCTGGCTCTTTCAGAGACCAGTTCCCTTCTCTGCAAAACAGGAATAAGAGTCACTGCCTTGTTTACCTCATACGGGCGTTGGAGGCTCAAATTAGACGTGATGAAAAATGTGATAATGTCAAAGAGCTCTGTGAACTCTAGAGAGCTATAAATATAAGGTGTTATTAGAAGCTGAAAGTAAGTGATTAGTGGCTTAATTTAAGCAATTTTGAATGCCTTAGCCGAGCCTTGTGGACGTTAGATATTCGTACCATCAGGCGGGAAGGAAAGAGTAGCGGCTGGGATGGGAAGGTGGGTTTGCTCTTCTCCATGTAAACTGGGGGTAGGTTGCAGTGCTTCCTCACTAAGTTCGGACATACCCAGTGGTTTGGAGAATGAGTTGGGTTTTAACTAACAGGAGACAGAAAGATGGTAGAAGGGCCAAATGTACTCCAGAAATCATGCAAGATAAGCAAAGGATGACTCAAAAGTTGGGGAAAAAAAGAAGAAGTGAGATGTGGTGGCAAACGCCTGTAATCATAGCATTCTGGGAGGCAGAGACAGGAATAGCACCAATTCAAGCCCAGCCCAGGCAACGAAACAACTTTACAAGACCCTGTCTCAAAATAATTTAAAGAAGGGCTGGGAATATAGCTCAGTGCCAAAGGGCTGGGTTCAGTTCCGAGTAAAACACACACACACACACACACACACACACACACACACACACTCGCTCGCTCTCACTCAAAGGCAGGTGTGACAGATAATGGGTAGACCAGGGGCAGCTGCTTATGGTATCCATGCATCTTGCGCATGTGAGAAGAGTGAAGAGGAAAGAAGTTTCCAGGTTAAAGGCAAAGGAACCCGGAGCAGGGAGCCCAGCAATCAGCAACCCTAGACAACCAGCCTGGCCTTCAGACACTTAGAGGCTGCTGTGCTCCTCTGCAGCAGTGCCTCCGGTGGGCCAAGCACCAGAAAGTCTCCCATGTTTTTACAGTCTTACACAAAACCTCAGTGTGTAAAACAGAAACATTTGAAGCTGCTCTGATAAAGTGAGGCTTGGGGAACCCAAGGCCACTTAGCTTCCCTCTGATGCACTGGCAGCTCCTATGCGGCTCTGCACGCTGCAGGGATCTGCCAATGGGCTAGGACCACTCAGCCTCAGTGTATGTTCAGGGCCCAGCACATGGTAGGGGCTCAGTATTACCCGAATGAGTGACTGAGTGTATAAGATAGAGAGCAGTAGTCTGTAGGAGGGAATTCACATAAGTGGGTTAATTGGGTTGTGTGACTATACTGGGAGGCTGTAACTCTCCAGCTGGAGACACGCATGGTAGCGAGGTCACGATAGCCAGCCTGCTGGAGATCTCCCCATCACGGAGTGGGAAACTTCCTCAATCACGACAGTGTGCTTTGTCACAGGAACCAAAGTTGTGGAGAGTAAGACAAGCAAGAATGAGAAGAAACTTTCACTGACAAGGTCTTTCCTGATCATTTTATCACAAAAATATAACCAGCCCAGAGACCTACTATGCAGTATCTTCAGAATCAGAAACCACAATAAAATAAGCTGGTGTTTACTGAGTGCTATTTAACAGTCTCTACATGTGGTGTCCTAGGCAAAACAATGGCTCTACAAAGATGTCTAGGCCCCAGCCCCTGGAGCCTGTGCGCATGTTATATTACAGGGCAATGGAGGAACTAAAGTTGCTAATCAGCTGAGCCCACTGGGGTGGGTGCTGTGCTTCGAATATGGTTTGTCACCTCTAAAATTCATATTGAAGTTTGGTGGCTACGGTGGTCTTGACCTCTAAAGGGGGCTCAATGATCAAGAGGGACTGATTCCTTTTTCATGGGAATTTTCTGTCTCTTGGGACTGGACCAGTTACTGCGAGACCAGGTTGTTATAAATCAAGATTGCCCTCTGTATTCTGCCTTCCACATGTATCCACTTGCCCTTCCAATTTTCTGCTGTGTTATGACACAGCACGAGGCCCTTCAGTTGTGGCTGCTGATCATGGAACCCCAGCTTCACAACCAGTAGCCAAAATAAAAATCTATTCTTTATAAATTATGCAGCTTCAGGTATTCAGAAAGTGCACAAAGACAAAGGGAGATTATACTGGATAATCCAGGTAGGCCTAGTGTAACCACAAAGGACCTTAATGTTGTAAGGGGAGGCAGGAGAGTCAGAGTCAGAGAAAGAGCTCTGACCACAGAAGCAGGGGTTTGAGTGATGCGATAACGTGACTAGCCATCACTGGTTTTGAGACGGGAAGGAGCCTCCTGATGCTGGACAGGCAAGGAACAGATTCTTCTCTAGTGCCTCCGAGTCCTGCTGACCCCTTGATTTTAGCCTAACAAAACACAGGTCAGACTTTTCACCTCCAGAGAGGTAATGTGAAAAGTTGGAGTTGTTTTAAGCTACTACATTTGAGGTAATTTGTTTACAGCAGCCACAGGAAAAAAACAGATTTTCCTACCCCATGTTCACAACGTATCCCATGTTGCTATTTTGTAGATTCATAGACTGAGTCTTGGGGAAGTTAGGTCACTTGACCCAGTGTGCAGTGAGTGTCCCGTTTCCCGGGACAGCTCTCTTAACCACAGTGCTGCCTGAAAGTGGCTTTCCTTCCTCATTTCACAAGTGAGAAAACCAAGGCCCAAAGAAGTGACCTGGCCTGCTTTACTTCTCACGCAAGTTAGTGACACGGCTTAAACTATGCCTCAGGATGATGGTACAAAGCAGTGCTTCATGACTGCACAATCTCATCAGAAAACAGGTTCTGATTAGGCAGATCTGGGCTGGGAACTGGACCCTGCTTTCTGTGGTAACAATTCTTATTCTTTCCTTGGGGTCTGAAAATCCAGTTGTCAAAAAAGCCTGGGAAATCTATAGGGATGAGGATGAGGGCTTTAAGAGGGAAGAGACAAGGCACCCCAGAGGCACAGCACTGGAGAAGGAGGTTTAGAGTCTTACAGGGAAAAGCCAGTGTTAATAACAACACCAAACTCTTTGTTCTGCCCATGAGAAAGGTGTCACCCAAACTTTATGTGTAATTTTGTTATTTGAAAATTCATCCCAACCTTGCAGGCATGGATCTGGCATTGTGAACAGCACAAAGTCAAGGCTCGTTGTACCAAAATACCTGTACTTGATTGGGGGAGAAAACGTAAGTACCATTCCCTAATGCAGGTTAAGTTTTTGTCTTTTTTCCTCTCTCTCTCTGGAGAAAGAAATAATGCACTTATTCTTCCAGAAATATCTCTGAAGTTCTGACAGAATCCAAGGGTCCCTGGCCCAGGCCCCTTTTTCTCCTGAGCACCAATCCAGCCCACTCAGTAGACTCAAACATGGGGCCAGGAGAACCATGCACTGTATGAACTGCCTTGTGATTTTCTGAGACTTTGTTTTGAAAAAAAAAAAAAAAATGTACTCACCCTCGTGAGTGAGTAGGAAGTGCTGGGAGACAGTCTGTAACTTCCTTCACAGCAGTTGCAGAATGTCCAGCTGTCTGTGGCTACCAGAGCTGCTGGGAGGCTAGGAATGTTCTGGTTTTGTTTTGAAACAGCCATCAGCACTCAAGCAAAAAATACCAGCTTTCAGACCCATGAACTCAGAGAGAAAACAAATATTTGCCTGATTCTTTCCTAGGGGTACAGATTGAAAAATATATCTCTACTTATTTACAATGGCTCAGACGTGAGATTTTGTCCCCCCTCAGACTCAAGGGTATTAACTTCCCATGATCCCTCTTGTATAATTTGCAAAACAGAGTCTTAAAGTATTTCTAAAATAAGTTTTGGATGAATGATCTCAACTCTGTGGTTTGTCTGTAAAGGTAGTGATAATTCTTCTGGAAAATAGTATGCTGGTGAGGTGGCCGATCACCCACCCAGCACTGAGAAGCCTCATAAAGAACAAGGTATTGAACTAGGTTGTGGAGAAAAATCTTTGCTTTCACCCAGGGTTCAAGGCTGAGCCTTTAGCAAGGGGCACTCTGGCTATTGGGGAGCCTGACATTGTGGGCAGTTTTGTTATTAATCTGGGATGGGAATAAGACACAGCTGTGGTGAAACAGCCCTTCTTAGCTGTGGCATATTATTCAGGCCCCCATATGTCTTCTTGCCATGATTTTACATTATGGTCTTTATGTCCTCATCTGCAAAATATGAATAAAAAATGCTGTCTCTTAGGAGTACTGTGGGGATTAAAGGAGATATATATGAATCACACAAAGTAGGCCGCTAAAATGTCCCTTTCTTCAGGAGCCAAGAGAAAACAGATTTTCAAGAACAGTTTCTGTTTGGCTGTGCGACATATTATGTTATCTTCCTGCCTTCATTGGTCTATCCAGGGCTCTGTATTTTGCTTGGTCTATCAATGTGTTAATTGTTATTTCTTTTGAACATACAATTGGTGATGGGCAACAGGGATCCAAAATACTATTGGTGACAATCCAGCAGTGGTTATAAGTAACAGGGTGCAAGAATACATGCAGACACAGGAGAGGTGGTTGAGTTTAGAAAACCTGGTCATAAATTAATTGATTGACTACCTTGGTGATGTGAAAGCAAGGTTCAGTACCAGAAAAGGCAGTCTTTAGTGCCTCCTGGTAATTATTGGAGACCAGAAGAGTTAGACAGGTTTTCTTTTCTTTGCTCCCCTTCCCCAACACACACACGCGCGTGCACACACATACACACACACACACACACACACACACACGCTCCTTCTTTTGCCAGCTGGCAGGGAAAGCTCTCCAGGAGTGATACCGAAAGAATTTTTCTTTCCTTTCCCACTATTCATTCACCCCTTCAAGCCACATAGCTTATGTTAGCTCTGGTGAGGCAGGTGCCAGCCCTGCCCCTTCACCCTCTCCAATCTTCTTGGGTCCTCAGGGAAGAGAGGTGTAAGGGCTTCCCATCATGGTGCAAGGGCTGGGATGTTGTCTTGTTTCCTATCTGGGCACCAATTATAAGAAATAAAGCTTAAAAAAGGAGAAAGAAATGAAGCTTAAGTTATGGAATCTTCATTTACATAGGCCCTTCTGAGGTTCTAATAGGTTTATAAGGGCACATGTCCTCCAATAGAGTTTGGAAAAGCTATTCCAGCCACCATCAGTTATGACTGTGTTCTTTTCCACTCCATTCTGACTTCTCCTCTATCGTTCTTCCTCATTTGCCAGGGGCATTGTGAGTGTCCAAGGACTTTTTGGGGAAGTCGAAATGGAGATACATTTAGTTTGGCTTTAGTAAGAACTTTTTATGTGTGCTGCAGTCTCTTCCACACAGAGTTAAGCTATTTCTGGAATATTACTAATGCCTGGTTGTGCCAACTCCTGAGTTGTGACAGGAAGTTGCAGGGGATACAGGTCATTTCATGACATGGACATGACCTGAGCCATTTGTCACTGGAAGTGTGAGGAGAGTGTAGGTGAAACAAGGCTTGAGATGTTTGGAGTCAGAAGACAGCCCGGGACCATTCTGCTGAGATTTGGTTTTCAAAAAAGCCTCCTAAAAGGGCTGGGGATGTAGGTCAGTGGCAAAGTGTGTCCTTAGCATGTGAAGGTATTGGTTCAATGACCGAAAGAAGCAAAGAAGCATAGACAAAACGCCAGTTCTTTCCTGTCAGGAACATACTTGAAAGTGCAGCATAGATAATTATAATACGCTTTTAATATACATTATAATATATTTTTCCTGTGTTGATGAGATGCATATGCAAGAATTATTTATCAGAATTAGAGTTTGCAGGCAGTAAGTCTGCAGACAAGGTGTCTAGCAATTTAAGAATGAAAAGAGCAGAAACTTGATAGAGGAATATCAAAAGTAAGAACAGCAATCTGAGAAATGTACAGGACTTTAACAGTGACATATGGACCAGACAGAACCTTATCTACACAACTGATTGTAAGAAAATTTAATCAACCTTCTTAGAGACATTTCCTATTTGCTCTGTGAAAAACATGACAAAAATCTATAGATTCCAGTTTTTGCCATCAGAATTTGAACTTGTATTGGAGAGGTGACCAAAGATGCCTATCTTCTAAATATTTCCTTTTATACCTAATTTTTGTTTATTCCCTAGCATTATTTTTCTTATTGAGGGCCCCCTAAATTGTGTAGGTATTAGGCTCCATAAATCCTGGATCTGTTGCTAATGCTGATGAATGATCAAAAGCATTTCCAAACTTGAAACATTTTGTTGAGTTTTTATAATATGGTACATGTCATATAAATTCTTTTTTTTTTTTTTTTTTTTTGTTTTTTTCCGGTACCGGGAACTGAACTCAAGACCTTGCGCTTGCCAGGCAGGCGCTTTGCCGCTGAGCTAAATCCCCAGCCCCCATGTCATATAAATTGATAATTTAGTAAGGCATAGAATTCTAAGTTGAATATAATTTTTGTTAAACCTCTGAGGACATGTACCAATTACCTCCCAGCTTCCAGCATTGTTGAGCAATCCAATTACATTCTTAGTCAATTCTGTAAATTCTCGGGAATATTTCCCTATTACTGATGTTCTGAAGTTTCACAGTGGCATTGGTTTCTCTTTCCTCTCACTTTTCCAACCTTTTAATGGAACATATCAAACTGGAGATGTATTGTTCTGTTCCAGAAAATATTATTCTATGACTTCTTTGATCAACTCCTTTCTATTTTTCTGTCTTTTCTTCTGGAACACTTCATATTCAATGAATACATACTTGAGCCATATGTCACTGGAAGTAAGAGGACAGTAGAAGAAAAACAAAGTTTTTGAGTATTTAGAACCAGAAGATAATCTGTAGAACATTATCCCAAGGTCAGCTCTCAAAAGTCCTAACCAAGGGCTGAAGGTCTAGCTCAGTATATATATTTTTTAAGTGCTGAGGATTGAACCCAGGGCCTAATATGTGCTAAGTACATGCTCTACCACTGAGCTATACCTTGGCCTCAACAAATAGAGGCACCTATTTGATACAAAGAGCAATTTCTAAGCATTTTCTACGTATCAGTGAACTAGAGAAACAAAAACTTGGCCTTCATAAAACTTGTGTTCTCACAAGTGATACATCAGATGCTGTGCTTCTGGAATTGATTTTCTTTCTTAACTTTTTTAGCATATGCATCTTCTTTGTTAAAAAAAAAAAGGATAATTTTAAAGCAATTTTAGCTACAGAAAAATCAACCAGATTTTAGAAAGTTCCACTGTGCTCTCTCATCCTGTTCATTTCCCACCTCAGTTGCTCCTGTTAAGAACAGCTCTCATTAGTGTAGTAACTGCTATAATAGATGATCCAATAATATATACATCGTTATTGAAGCCCATACATTGTTACTGAAGCACATAGCTTATATTATGACTCCTTAGATTGTATAAGGTTTCATACGCATAGTGATATGTACCTACCTTTATAGTATCATACAGAGGAGTTTTATTGCCCTAAAATTTTCCCCATGCTTATTTATCATTCCCTCCATCCAAGAAACTCCTGATAGGGGCTGGGGATTTAGCTCAATGGCACAGTGCCTGCCTGGCAAGCACAAGGTCGTGAGTTTGATCCCCGGTACTGGAAAACAAAACAAAACAAAACAAAAACCAAAACAAACAAACAAAAAAACAAGAAACTCCTGATAACCACTGATTTTTGTTACTGTTTCTTAGTTTCACCTTTTCCAAAATATCATATAGTGGTAAAAATAGAAAATGTTTCCTTGGGTTGGAAAATTAAATTCTTTCAAAAGAAATAGAACAATACTTAGTATACTGGGAGAACTGTAAATGTATTCACTATTATCATTATTGCCTGAATGAGCAATGAATCAGCAAAATTTAAAATCAAAATTTAAGTCCTTTATGCAACTTGTCACCATGCACATGCAGACAAACTGGAACCAGAATGAAGACAGCAGAATCTGTCTGGCTCTTCCAATCTTACCAGCGTCCACATTTCAATGCTAATTTACCACGCAGAGATATCTGCATCAATGGTAAGTGAAAAGGCGGGGCAAACCCTTCCACTTGGATGGTTTCCTAACACTAGGCACAAGGACAGTTTAGTAAATCATCAATTTACCATCTCATTTTACTGTCTTTGGAACTGGACCAGGAGCACTAAATCTATGTACCAAGATGCTATGGTTTTGTTTCCTCAAAATGTATGCTGACATTTTGATTTCTATTTGAGGTATTAAGATGTGGGATCAGGTGGAAATCTTAAGAGGTTATTAGGATCATTAGGGGTCTGCCATTCATGGTAACCCATTCATGGATTAATGGATTAATAGGTGATATTAACCAACCAGGTTGGTTCTGGTTCTTGTATGCATGATGCCTGCTATATGACACCCTGTGCTGCCTCCAGACTCTGCAGAGTCCCATCAGCAAGAAGGCTGTCACCAAATGTAATCTCTCCAAGGACTTCCAAGGTCTAGATGCTAGAACTATGAGCTGAATAAATTTTTATTCTTCATAAATTATCCAATCTGTGGCATTTAGTTATAGTAACAGAAGACCAACTAAAACATGGAGGACCTTCAGGCTGTTTATGATGACCTGATCCACTACTTCTGCCTTTTTTCTGTCTTTCTTATCAACACTGCTTGTGATCCCAGCTCCTGCCATCCAAAGCAGCATGTTTCCCAAAGCCTTGCCAAAAAGGACTATTTTTTCCCATCAAAATTTGAACTTGTTTTGAGTTTAGAGACTGATAAACCCCCAAGAACGTGAGGTCTAGTCCAGAGTATTAAATTGAAAAGAAATAATACTCCTTTGTGTAATGCCATCTAGTAAATAGAGAAGGTAAACTTTTTTAGTGAGAAATTATGGAAGGAAAAATATGATACAGCTTTTTGAAGAGTTACAAGACATTTTTG